CTAAAAACTCAGCTATAGCTAAATTAGTTATCTGTGACCTAAACCTACTAGAGTGGTCAAGACTCATCTAGATTTTAATAATTAATATTTGGTTTGTATGTATGCTAAATTGAATCCACACCATGGACCACTGGTCAAATTTTAGCTGAGCTAGTCTTTTCGTTGGGCATGTACCGTTGTCTTCATATAGTTGGTTAGCTATACTACAAGGATAGTTGTAGCTAAGCCTTCTTCGGTGTTGCTTAGTATGGTTGTGGACTTGTATGCTGGTTGGTGTAGCCCCATTTAGAGATGGTATATTATTTTGTTTCTTCCATTTCACGAATCTGTTACAGTATAGTTTCCAGATTTGTTCATAGATTTCTGCAGATACAAGAAGTAGTGTCTGTATTATAACATTGGCTACCTCATTGTATCATAGGTCTAGCATCTGAAGAGATTCAAGTAGTTGTATAAAAATGAGGCCTTAGAGAGTAGCAGGTAGCTGATGTATATGTGGAGGGAGAGTAGCTAGGTAGTTAAAGAATAGGTGGAACTTAATTAGATTTATTACTGCTCTGCTTTTGAATGGGGTTAATTTGCTGATATATTTGCTAACTGTTTTGGTAAGAGAGGTATTTATAATTTGTAAAAGATCTGGAGAACTTTGGCAGCTTAACCAGTAGTTAGGTAAGTCCGATATACCACAGGAGAAGCAGGTACTGGTCTGATATATTGTTGGGGTGATATGGTGAAAGTAGAAATATGTTGGCAGATCGTTGAGCAGGTGTTTGATTCTGAATGCCTTCATATGGTTAAGTTTGGGTGATGTAATCTTAGCTGAAGTTTTTTGGCTATTGTTTAAAAAAAGCCAAGTAGAGTTCTAGTTAATTGTTTGGGTGTAGTTTTCCCATTCAGTATTGCGCTTTTGTAATGACTATAGTGCTATTGTGTGTGCTCTGCTGACAAATAGTTGTGTTGGTTTCTCTACGTTATAGCCTTTCCACTTGATTGTGAAATATGAATTGTGTATATTGGTATGGTTATACAAGAGAGTAGGTGTTGATGGGTGTTGGTGCTTCTTGGCCAAGGTGTCTACAGCGTTATTGAACTGGTTGTTTGAGTGTGCCAGAACTTTGTGCAGTGTAAACTAAATATTGAAGGCCTTAATCACGTTAAGGAGTGTAGCCAAATAGGCCAGTAGTTAAATTTAAAGTATTCGAAAGATTTAGTAGGAGTTTGTGATATTTGGATATAATAGACTGAAAGTCTGTAAATATGTCTACTTTGGCATTATGTAGTACTGTAGCAATAGCAGATAGAATTGCTAGAAGCTTGTATAATGAGAGCCAGTTGAGGATCTTGGCAGAAAAGCTGCTATTAATTTGGTTGTAGTTTATTTGAACCCAGCCTACTCTCATAGAGCAGTCAGTGGTACTTATGTCTTATACTGAGCTGTTTGTATAGAATGTAAAAATTTGTGTATTGGTATTGTTTAGGGCATGTTGTACTAGTATTTGGGATGCTTCATTGTCATGAAAGAGGGTTGAAGCTAACACAAGTCCAACAATAAAGTTTCGGTGGCCTATTAGCTAGCCGATAGACCTATGTTAGGTAATATAAATCTAGCAGAAACTGTTCGATATATATCAGCTAATAGCTACTGATATGTGGTGCATATCTATAACCTATTGGCATGGCATGTAGTGACAGCTTTATACGACCTATATGAAAATGACTATAGGAGTATCAGCAAGCGAAGATACTGGAATTAACTTCGTTAATATTTGTATGATATTTACTATATAAAAAATAAATATGAAAATATCGGCTATCCGATACAGGAACTAACTTCATTAATATTTTTATGTTATTTATTATATAAAATGAATATAGGAATACTGGCTATCCGATATCAAAATTAACTTTATTAATATTTGTATGATATTTACTATATGAAATAAATATATAAATATCTGCTATCCGATACTAATATTAGCTTCGTTAATATTTGTATGATATTTGCAGATTCCTATTATATACAAATTTTGGCTTGGATATTTAAAGCTAATATTGATATTTATTTCTCTGATATTTATAAGATATTAGTAAAGTTTCAGCTTATTAAATTTGAATATCATCGAAAGCAATATGAATTTTTCATTTTATTATATATTTTCAACTTACAACTAAAAACTATATACTCTATATTATATAGGTTTTTAAATTTAACTAAACTAACATCACTCAGCATAATTCCTATCTTCCTTATCTTCACTGCTATGAATACCAAATTTATCACTAGACATATTATGATTCCGTTGATGCTTGGAAGAAGATTTACTTTAATTTGAATTGTTGAACATAGAAAAATTTTAATAAGACATAACAATTAGCCTTTTAAATATCAGATGCATAATTTTCTAAATAATATATATCTTTATTTATTTTCAAGGCTAGAATCATTGGTTCCAGCTTTTTTGTTGGACCCAGAATCATTGTTGAACCCAGCATTGTTAGACCCAGAATCATTCTTGTTGGACCCAGAATTGTATTATCAGATCCAGAATTGTTGTTATTAAACCCGGAATCATCATTATTAGACCCAGAATTATCGTTGTTAGACCCAGAATTGTTTTCAGAATTGTCATTATTAGACCCAGAATTGTCGTTGGACCCAGAATTGTTGTCGTTGTTGGACCCAGAACATTTGTTGGATGCAGAATTGTTGTTGAACCCAGAATTGTGTTAGATCCAGAATTGTTACCGTTAGTAGACCCAGAATTGTCATTATTTTTGGACCCAGATTTGTTAATGGACCCAGAATTGTCATCAGACCCAGAATCATTACTCGATTCAGAATCGGTAGCAAACTTATTATTACTGGGCCTTGATTTTTTATTGTTATTGTTATGTTTGTCGTATTTATTAGGATCGTAAGATGAGAAAATAGTCCTAAAAGAGGCATCGAACAGAGGTTTTGATAGATCTATTCATTCATTATTATAATGTTAATAACTTACGGGTTTATTTAATTGATTCGTTAACACTATTTCTTCAGCCCAATGTAAAATTTTCTTATACTGTTTTAAAAAAATTAGTCTGATACAAGTATAATAACCACTAAAATAAAAAAAAATTAATCAACTTACCTTTTCAGATCTCCATATTAGATTCTGCACCTTAACAACATGATTATTATCATAAATCTTATTATTTTCACCACCTTTGTTATATCGTTTATTAATGGTTCTTTCATATTCTGCAAGTTCTTCATCCGTCTCTGAGATTTCATCAGAGTGGTATGCCATTTTGACTACTACTTCAGCAAGTTCATCTTTCTACTCATTTTTACGAACTAAACTTGGTTGATATTTCTCGATAATAGAGTCTTTTATGTAAATCAAATATTGAAGCCCATCAATTCTCTGCTTTTTTTTCTAAAAAAAAAAAAATATATATATATATATAATATAAAAAAAAAAAAATTAAAAAATAAATGATATCGGATGAATATATATATATATCAGATGATTATACTATAATAATTAATAAAATAAAAAATAAAAAATACATACATCCTGCATGCGCAAATTCTTATTGGCATGACTTTTATTCGCTTTCTATTTGTCAGCATTCGCCTTAATTTTTACTGTTGATGCACGGCTTTTATGGTTAGTCTTAAGCACTCAAACTACTTCTTCATCAAGATATTCAAGGCTTTTATTAATATGTTTTTTAAAAGCAAGAAGGATAGTAAGTTCAACAAAGTCTCTCTGATGGAGCCAGCTTTTGTTCTCATTTACTGACAGGTGGGGATTTTTGTGTGCCAATTGTTTGGTTGCCCGAAGTACCTCTTTCTATATCAATAAAATAAAAATGTATATTAAAATATATATATAGTATATTACATAATCCAATATTAATATTATAAAAAAAAACCCCTAAACACTTTTTTATATTCAGCATCTATCGGCACTAATTGTTTATGCTTAAACCTTGTTTGAGTTGGATTGTATGACTTGCCAGGTAAGAATGAATTTTCTCTTCCCTTATCTTTATAACCTTTATCATTATATTCATTGATATTAATATCATTATCAGCAATGTTTACGTAGATCAGGAGATCTGCTATGGCAGATGACTGCGAAATATTAGATTAAGTCCTCTCAAGATGTCCTAGTCTTTCTTTAAGCAAAGCGACTTGGGATCTCAAAGCTGAATTTTCTAAATATTAGCAATAATCATTAGCTGATATTTATATTATAAAAATCAAAAAAATTATTGCTTACCTTCTTTCAATGCTCTACTTTCTAAAATTGTTATATTATAAGATTTGAATTAATATTGTGCAGCCGATATTCATATCACTCTTATTATTATAATAAAAAATACATTATATCTTCAATATCCCTTGTCCTATCACATTCATGTGACTTTCTACGAGAAGGTGAAGAGAATAGTAAACACAAGACTAACGAGTATGAGAATAAGACCTATGAGTATAAGAACAAGACCAACGAGTATAAGAATGAACTAACATGTATGAGAACAAAACTGACATGTATGAGAACAAGACCGACGTGTATGATGACAAGAGCAGTTTGTGCAGAAACGAGGAGAAGGAGAGTGAGAATTCGATGAATTGGAGTTTGAATGGAAGCATGAATGATGATTTTTTCTTGAAATCATTGTTTAGCGTGATATTAAAGAAGTTTCAAAATGGAAAAGAGTTGATTTTTGCACCATGATATGGTTATTAGATAAAAAAAGACCAAAATTTTCAAATTTTCAAAACTAAAAAAAAAAACAAATGCGAATAAATTTTAAACAATCTAAAGTATCATTATTTTTTAAAAATATTATCTATATTAAAAATATTGGTAAGAGAAAGAAGGTAAAAAATTTGATACTTATATATTCTTTAAATAATCTTCAAAAAAAAAAAGTGCCGAATATTGAATACATATTTATCTATATTTAGAAACACTGATAAGAAAGTAAAATTAATAAATCTGATATCCCTATATTCTTTTGAATAGGAATCTCAAAGAAATGTAATTATCGAAAGAAGTGCACACCTGTATTGAAAAGCTGATAGAAATATTAAAAAAAAAATTAAATAATTTGAATATAAAAAAAACTATTCAAATAGCGAAAGAAATATCTACCTCTATTGGGAATGGCAAAGAGAAGAAAAGAAAGAAAGTTATCAGGAAAAAATGAAAAAACGGCTATGTGAAAAAATATTTACTTGTTAATTAAAGAAAAAAAGGTAACAAGAGAAATGAAAAGGAGTTACGTGAAAGAATATTTACGTGTTAAAATATTGTTAGTGAATAGAAAGAAAAAAAAGTTAACGGGGAGAAATGAAAAAGTGTTAATGTAATATCGGTAAGAAAAACACAAGAAAGAAAGAAATGCGAAATTGGATACTTTTTATATTTAACGAAAGATACAATTACATATAAACTGATAATTTTCATGATCATTATATTCTTATGAACACAAATTAAAAAAATAAAGCTATGTGATAATTTTCATGATTATTACATTCTTGTACACACAAATTAAAAAAAAAAATAGAGCTATGTGATAATTTTCATGATCATTACATTCTTGTACACACAAATTAAAAAAAAAAATAGAGCTATGTGATAATTTTCATGATCATTATATTCTTGTATACATGTAATTAAAGAAATAGAACTATAATTGTCATTCGATTTATTATTGTAAAAAATATTATTACATGACGTCTAATTCAATTACATTATTGATTGCGTCTAAAGAAAATTAGCTTTGGGCATTCAATTTTTTATCTTACTGGACAATTCTTGAGTCTAGTAAGTTCTAAATTGAAACCCGAAGTCTAATTTTCTTTAGAAGTACTCATATTTTCACATTATTGATTAAATAATATTTACTACTAAAGCAATATTCG